ATTAAAATAAAAACAAACAGGCAGTTTAGCATTCACTCACTGTGAGCTGGTAACTATAATGTTCATCGAATAGATTCTGATAAAATTCACAAACTGGTGAGGTATGAATTGTGAATAAGAATCGTTAAAGCAAAAGTTCAGATCCAATCATGAGTAAGCTTTAAGTAAAACTAAAACTTTAGTTTGATTTAAACGTGCAAAGAGTTTGATTTCATGTCAAACAAAACAGTGAAACACAGTTCATATTGGAATATTATCTATATTGTCTTATACTGTAAAAATAATATTGGAAACTATCATTATTCATTTAATGGTAAAGGATTTCAGCATTGTGTCAACTGTATTCTTTATCTGTAAGAGAAGTGTTAGATATTTTAGGAAATGTCAAGGGTTCGATGGAGTCTTGTCATCACAGTGAGGTTGCCAGGCAACCAGCAGAGACTCTCTGGTAAAGTCACTGGTTCCAGCCGAGATAAAGGCTGTGTCCTAAATTACTCCCTATTTACTATATAGTGCACTGCATTTACTGTCTGCCATCTTATTTTACTGTCCGAATGGCATTTACACAATTACTATCTGCTATCAATCCGACCACTGTGTGTGTCTCTACACCTGTCAGTGATGATGCAAAATTATGATTATTAACGAACTCTCAATTTACTGCTCACTGTTGAATAAACTGTTAAAGTAAACTATTATAAACTAGTACTGAACTAGGGGAGCACTTTAGTTTTTGTAAAGATTAAACAAGCAAGATATCAGAGGTTACTTAGTGAGCTTTAGGTTGACAGATTTTGTTACCATTGATCAGAACCAGGACTGCCGTTTCCTGCTGTTTTCAATCTTTATGCTGAGCTAACCAGCTGCTGACTGTAGCTCCATGAGTGGTATCAACATTCTCATCAAACTCTTGACAAGAAAGCAGATCATTAGCCTGTAGTATTATATATCCTGTGTACTGGATGTGTACTCACATCTACTATCTTCCCCTCTGCAGGAGAACACGTCAGACTGTGGACGAGGCCACTCCTTCCGTCCGTCCCTCTACACCTTACTGCTCATTCAGCTGCTTCTGCTTTATCCTGCCGTCAGCCCCCACATTCACTCTCTATTACATTAATTCCATTTTCCCCCATTTATCCTCCTTTTAGCCCTCCCAAGCTTCTTTCCCAACCTAAAAACCCTCCAACCCTCCTCCCCGCCTCCATGCCCCTAAGCCTCCCTCTCCCCCCCGATATAGTCATAGGTAATAATGGGACTTCCCATCACGGCAAGTTGGAAGCCCTGAGTGCCGTGCTACCCAGCTCGCTTCAGTTCTTGTCGCTTAGTGACAACTGCCGGACGTTCGTGTCCTTGGCCAGTTAACCTTCATCTGCAGGAGGAGCGGGTGGTCCCGGACCACCTGGATCATAAGAGGCAACGTCAGAAAAAAAGAAAACAAATCCCCCGCCCCCCCTCCACAACCACCCCGCCGCCTCGACCATCCAGAGAAGGCAGGGGAAAGAGGACAGAGTCAATGTCTTCGTCACAGACCTCCCGCCTCACACAGACTGGAGAGTTGAGGTTGTCTGTCGGCCTTCGCCTCTGTCTGTCTGTCAGACAGACAGCGGGACTCCTCCTCCTCCTTCTCTCCTCCATTTCAGAGTCTCGCTGTGGACCATTCAGCCAGTTATAGCCACCATAAAAGAAAATAACAGAAAAAAAAGAACTGTCAAGTATACAAAATGTCAAGTATAAACTGCTGAAGTGATGAGTATTCCAAACATTACAGTATATTTAGTTTTTAATTTGAAAAGGAAGTCGTTAGGTGTTGAAACTTAAAAAGACATGAATTAATTTATGCACTATATCTACTTGCCAAAATGAGATAGACTTTCATGTGGTCTTATTTTTATAGCCAAAACAGGAGGAGGAAATGGCTTCTGATTTAGATTTAGGATAAACCACGAGAGGAAGAGGAGACACAGAAACTGAATGCTGATTCATTTTGTGCTGTGCCTAATGACAGATTAATGCTTTTCAAAAGACGTCCACTTGGGGATTATTGTAATTACATGATGGTAATCACATTTCTTGAAGTACTTTCCTCTTATATTTATATTTAAGGCTCCATGCTATCTGACTTAGACACTAGTGACAGCTGTCAAATATGAATCAGCGTTCGGATGCTGCAGATTTGGAGCATCGTCGATGTCGTGTAGTGTTCTCCTTTAGGATCAATCGACCATTCTGACCTCTGGTTTGGACCGGTGTTAAAAAAGAAACCCCTGTGCTCTCTGAGGCGAAAGCTCACCTCTGCCAATCCTCATGAGGCTTCTCCAGTAACCTCTACTAACGCTCCTAATCACGATTTGTAAATGTGCTTTACTTCTGTTCACACAACAGACACACCAAGATCTCTGCCTCATGACGTCTCATAGTTGTTCCAGGTGGGCTTTTTCTCTCTTTTTTTTTTGGTTTTTTGTTTTTCTTTTTGTGGGGCTTGTATTACCTTTGACTGATGCTGTTCAAACTTCAAAACCATTCGCTGCTGGGGGATAGGGGCTTATCAACATTTCCAACAAAAGTGCAGAAGAGGCAACTAAATATGGTGATCACGTACAAGTAGTAGTCTGGTTGTAATCCGTCACAGTTCATCATTTGATCATTACAATGTGTGCAAAGTCCTTTAGAGTCCCATGTTTAGGAGCCGCTCTGTTTCATAGTGCCTTGATGCACTTTGTTTTGGACCACATTGGCTGCATAAGAGTAGAGCTACTGTATAGTACCTTTATGAAGCAGCCATCTTTGAGGCTTTGGATAGCGCAGGAGCCCGTGAGACTGAATCTGTTGGCTATAGAAATAGCTTTACACAGAGCCACGGCACTGACCGGCTCTAGCTTAATGTATTTGCCCTCACGGCTGTGGTCGCTGTAAACCCTCCAGAGCCGCCTGACTGCCATCATATGGAGTTACTATACCGTTCCTTTACAAAGCCATGTATAGAGCTATGATACACTATCAGTATACAGCGACTTATCTGGCCATAGAGCGTTTTTAGGGCCACCTGACTGCTATTGTTCTGCCTGAAGCGTATGTGTTTGTGCGTGGATGTGTGTTTGCGTTAAAAACCCTTAAAGGGGAATGTCTTTTAAATGATTTGTGGAGTGTATGAGGGACGACAGTTGTGGTAGCATAGCTGTTTTTCCTGTTCCTATGTTGCAACGGACAAAAATCCAGTGTTATTGTGAAGAAAAAAAAGGGATTTTCCTGAAACAAAAATAATCCATCTTCAACCATCAGTCTGCCTAAAAATGAATCAAAGGGGGAGCAGAGGTGTCTGAAAGAATGTGTAGTTCATCTGTGTTTTCTGCTTCAAATGCAACATAGTTAACAAAGCCTCTCTAAATGCCTTAGTGTTACACAGTGCGGAGCTCTGATACGTATCCCCCCCACCCCTCCATCTACACTCTTTCACACACACACACACACACACACACACACACACACACACAAATAGATCCTAAAGTATTCCCTCCCCCTGGGTTTTTTTGGTGTTCTGCAGTAAGTATAGTGAGCTCTAATTTTGTATTTTTACGTCTTGGAATGATTCGTTACTGATTGATGCCTGTTCGATTAAATGCTTGAAAGCAGGTCGGAGTTATAAATTTCAAAAAGCCTCCAACCTTCGATGTTCACACCCACCCAAGCCCTCACTGTGTTGCTCAGGCGGGACGACTCACACAACAATTTGAACCTTAACTACACACTCTGTACAGTTGTTGTACTATTTGATGTGAGAAACATGCTGGCACAGTAACTGCAAATGAACAAAATCTGACTCCGGAAAAAAAAGACTGTTAAAAAAAAAAAATCTGAGGTGTGTTTTTAATCAATCTGGCTCCTCCTACTGACTGGATGCAGTCTTAACTTTTCTGGCATTTGTTTGTCGCTGTTCTGTGCCATTAATTCTGTCTGTATATCCCTATTTCCACTGTCTGTAAATGAGCGCTACACGTGCCTGTGGAAATGTACCCCCTGCAACTTCCTCTCTTTTTCCTGGCTCTGTACGCATATACACTCTCACACATAAAACTAAATATGTAAGCCTACAGTTTTCTGCACCTGCACCGAGACATTATGCACAACACACACCTTTTAAGCAAACATGTAATGACACTTATTCGTGCCCAGCTGGGAGATGTCAAGCACCAGGCAGAAGTAAGCCAAGGACGTCACTTCCCAGGTGTTTTTTCTTTTTTGGTGAGCGGGGCGGAATGTCAGAGGCAAGCTCAGGGAGTGGGTCTCCACAGAGCAGCACGGGCCTGTCAAACAGAAGGTCATGGAGGAATCATGTGGTGACGTCTGTGTGTGAATCCCCCCGACGGAAAAAAAATGTTCTTCTAAAAGGGGATACACACGTCTGATTTCTGTAGTTTGACAAATTTACTTTTGCCAAAAAAATGAAAATATAGAAAATTGGACCAGCTTGGGGATGAGAGAGAGGGGGGGTCAGCTTTAGGACGCCACCCTGAAATAAGTAGGGGGCGGTTTTCGTAAAAGAAAAGCCTCTCGCCCCCTCCCAACCCTCGCTGCATCTGTGTTGGTGCGTCTCTGTGGGAAAGACACGTGTGTATGTGATTCTGTAGTCTGTAGTCTGGTGCTATGTGACCATGTTTGACAAGTGTGTGAAAAAATAACAGCAACATTTAGAGAAAAAAAAAAGTAATAAAATCAGTCAAATTTTAAGTGAAGTTTAAAATATATATATAGGAATACAGCACTGTTGATAAGTTTGAGATCTGAAGTCAAAATGTTTTTAATTTATTTTCAGTTTGTTTTATTTCCTGTACGTGTGTGAGTGTACGAATGTTGGTGTGCGTGGAAGATTTAGCTCCTTCTTTTCTGGGCACTGGTCCATGTCGCTCCATTCTTTTGTACAGATGAAGCTAAAAAAAAAAAAAAAAGAAAAAGAAGAGGGCAAAATTTGTAAAATATTGTGTCTGTGACTCCTTGTAAAATATTTTCAAATTGTTTATTACAGAGAATCAGTTATTAAATAATGTTCATATTTTTCACTTCATTTCAGCGTGTGGTGTTTTGTTTGTTTGTCATACACAGGTTAAAATCAGAGCTTTACTATTAATTATAACACAGTATTACAGTACAATATTACTTCTTATGGTATTAAAGGAAAAGTTTGACATCTTGGACAAACTTCTTACCGTGATGAGACAGTTAATGCCACTCTCATGTCTGTATGCTAAATATGATTTGGCCAACGTAGCTTAGCACAAAGAATGGAAACAGTGGGAAACAGCTAGCCAGGCTCTGTCCAAAGATAACAAAACAAAATCCACTATAAAACAGCAAATTGTAGTTTTTACACACTTTATTATTGTTAATTAGTGAGCTTAAGATGTTTAACTGTGGACAGGGCCAGGCTAGCTGTTTCCCTCTGTTTCCAGTCTTTATGCTAAGCTAAGTTAGCTTCATATTTATCATGGATCTTCCCATCTAACTCTCTGCAGAAAAGCAAATAAGCATATTTCTCAAAATGACGAATTATACCTTTAAAAGTTCCGAGCCTCCTCTCAATATTAGAAAATCTTGATTTCCAGTTTCATTACTGACACTTTAAAAAGTCAAAATCAGGTCATGGAGGATGTTAGTGGCCTAAATTTCTCAGGAATGAATAATGTGTTTATCTGTGTGGCTCCTCTGAGTCACTTATGTGTGACTGATACACAGCGAAGAGCTTCACAGCGTATTAAGGAAGTCTGTGAGAGCTTTGTGCCAAGTGTCCGGGTCGTCCAGGTAACAGGGGTGACCCGCCCCTTTCATCACCACCACGCTGTGATTGGCCAGATTCCTCAGGTTGCCGAGTGATATTTCTCCGAGCTGAGTGTCCTGGTCACCATAAATGACCAGCGATGGGACCTGGAGGAGATACGGGACACAAAAACACAATGAGATGCTTCTGGTGAATCATTTGGAATCCTTTTTCTCTTTGGTTTTTTTTGTTTGTTTTGAAATTCCGACCCGTAGCTAAAGGGATTTTGTGGATGTCCTACATTTTACCTCAAGTTTAAAAAAAATTCAAACAGGTCTTATAAAAAGATAAGAGGCTGGCTTTTTATTTTTATTAGGCATGACTTATTTATGTGTCTAGATGTCAATATGAATAAAAGTAAAGTAAAAAAAAGTAAGAGCTAGTCAGGCAGACCTTAATATTCGCTTCTATTAGCGTATCAATATCCCAATATACATATATTCTATTACAAAGTAAAACTCCTGCAATAAAGGAGACTCCAGTTAGTTAGTTTTAGATTTACACAACATTGGGGGACAAAACTCTGAGTAAACAAATAATGGTCTGCGTCCAACAAGTTTCTAAAACCGGACAATCCGACATTCACACTGATTTACCAACAGTGTGGAGCTGAGAAAGGAGCCAGGGATTGAACTTCTATTATTTATTCAATCTTTTTTCATTTTTATACTTTTATTTAATTGTTCCACAGTTTTCAGTATATTCACATTTTTGCAATTATTGTTATTTTATTATTATTTTTTCATTTTAATCTAAGTACCCAGTACTACAGAAAACCAAGCCATAGCTACAAATTCATCTTATTATGTACACTTATATCAGGTACACTAACATACCCATATGGATATAAATAGTCATTAGTATTTATATGTACAAGTTAATTAATGTAACATTAATGCGTCCGTGCTGGTATTCCATAAGACAGAAAAATACAGTAGATACAGTACATTTCACAGTACAGTACATACAGTACAAGGAGTAAAAAATAATACTATCACTACTTTTCATGTGGACAACTAAATGCAACACAATGAATGTCTACCAGGAGAAAATGTGGGGAATTATCCCCATATTTAAACTATTATTGTGCCCCGACCTCTCTCAGACGACCCCTGTTTGACCTTGCCTTCAAGTTCCTTTCATGTGTAAATGTATAAGTTAATTATCAGCAAAATATATTCAAAGTATAAAAAGTAATAGTACTCTTTATATTTCATAAACTCATATTTTGCATAAAATCTCAACCTGCATAGTAACTAGTAATTCAATCTAAGATTTATATCTGTTTTGTTAAGTTATTTTACTATAAGAAACCAGCTTTGATATCATGTCACTGCTTTTCTGCTCCGTTATTTTACCCCAAATCACTGAACATCAAGCAGCCATGATGCTGAACTTCTCCACAGTGACAAACACGTCTCCTTCATGGATAATGCACCTTCACTTCTATCCATCTAAGAAATAACATTTTCAAATAGTCAGGGGTTGGATGAAAGCTGGTATGAAAGTATAAAGTCACATGATATCTGCCCCTCTTGTGGTCACATGCAAAAATCCACAGGCTCTTTTAAAAAGGGGAGAGGAGGAGGTGCTGGAAATGGGGTTGACATTCACGGTGAGGTTATCCTTTAAAGAGGAAATGAAGCACACATACTGTAAAAAAAAGTTTTACAGGACAGGAAACTACTAAAGAATATAAAGTGGAGGTATATACGACTGTACCTTCACACTCTGGTACTGCTCTGCTGTGAATTTGTCGGTGCAGATTGGAGCCACGGGGATGTAGGCTCGTATCAGGGCCTGGTGCTGGAGGAGGAAGGGGAGGGAGTACATCCCGCTGAGTGATGGGCTGATCACCACCACCGGGCTCAGGCTCAGCTGCTCACACACCTCTTTCAGGAAACCTGCAGGGGCCAGTTCCCCAACCGCTGCCGGGGCCTCGGCTGACTTAGACTGACCGAGTCCTGTGGACAGACGGAGAGTCCACATTTGTTGGACCCCAGAACTTTTAGTTCAGAGGTAAGTGAGTAAAGCTTTATTTGTGAAGCACTTTTTAAAACACAGAGTTACAAAGTGCTTCACAAACAAATTAATATACATATATATATATATATATATATACTATAGCTACATACACACACATATAAAAAACATATAAATACTTACATGGACGAATAAAACAATAAGAAAAGTTAAAAAATAGACACAACAGCAAATAAACACAGTGAAGCAGATCTATAAAAAGCTCTGCCCATAGAGAGCTGCTTTAAACAGATGGAGACAGATGGAGAAGATACTGCAGGAGGTGAAAGGGACGGGAGCCGTTGTTCTAAAAACAACATGAAGTTAGTTATTGTAGAGATTTTGGCCACTGATTTACCAACATCAGCATTGTGTGCTGCAGCAGTGACTCACTGAGGCAATTAGGGAACTTTAAACCTTTATCACGCAGTCGCCCCAATTTGCATCAAAAATAGCACTAGGGCTCACAGCTCAGTCAAACTCTGAACACACAGACATGATACACAAGCTTTTAAGTACAGTGTGACTTACATTTCTCAAGGATATCATTACTTCCAGAGTCTATGGTGGATAATGGTCCATACAGCTGCATAGAAATCATGGAAAATAGACACATATAACTCCAGAACTTGAGAGTGTTTTTAGGTTTTCTTCGGTATTAAAGTAATTCAGTAATAGTTGTCTGTATATCCACGGGTACACTGCAAACAGGAACTGCTAATAGGTAGTTCAGTATACTTTTATTGGTGCTAACCTGCCAAAATGTAAACAAATATGGACTAAAAAAGGTGGGGCACAGTTAGACAGTGGCAGACGTTGAAAATGTTTTGCTTTTACATCCAATGGGGGGAAAAGTTCTTTGAGTTAGCAGTTAATACTTAATTAAAAGCTTCTGACAAATCTTCATCTTTACAGTGACCTGCAGTGTAATGTGCTTCACTGCCGTTACGCTCACTCACTTTATTAACTATTTTGTGCATCCCAGATTACTTTTCTGAAAAGGTAAATATATATTTAAAAAATGTAATAGTGAAGCCACAAAAACAATCCATGACTGGTAGTTTTATACATCCGATATGGTTTGTTCTGTCCTCAGATTAAAGACACAATAACATATGACTGTAGGACTATATGAATATATGTCTTTGACTGTGTTTTTATTGACCCCTTCCTGTAACCTTAAGTTAGTTTGTGGTTATTTAATGAAACACAGAAAAATAAAAGTCTTCAAACTGACACAGGGTTTCTCTAAAGGGCCACAGGAGAATATAATAATGTAGTTGATGTTGTACTGAAAGTAATCAACCCGACCAGACACAGTGAACCGGGGGCTTATAGGCCCTGTTTCCTGCTTTGTCCGGTCAGTTGTCCAGACTTAAGTAGTGAAATAGATCAAAGTTGATCCCATCAGACTCACCTGGCAGGTCGATGGCGACAGCACGGCAGCCTGCTTTGGCCAGAGTGTCCAGAGTGCCGATGTTGAGCCAGTTTTCTGAAGAGAAACGGATGCCGTGAAGGAGTAAAACTGACATCTTCACTTTCCCTGCAGCAGGTTCACTCTGTCTGTAGAACAGCGGCGCTTTGCAGCTCTCCAGCTGCACACTGCCCTCTGTCATCTTCACAGCCAACATCCTGAACACAAAAACAGCAGAAATCAGACCAAAGTTCAACACACAAAACCTGATCTGGACTTTAAATTAGACAGGAGTGTCATTATAGTGTGGTATAACTACTTTAACTTAAAGGATATTTGTTTTTATTTGTCTGAGACCTCCAGATGATGTTTCATATACTGAGTAGACATAAGTGACAGTTGTAGAGTTATAATATGGAGACAGAATGACAACTAAATATTATTTTAATTAATTAATTAGTCAATCAAACAGAAAATTAACTGACAAGTTTTAATAATCAATAAATCACTGCCAATTGAATTATATGCACATTAAAAATGTCACAAACTGCCACGTTTCAATATTTTCTTTTGTTTATAGTTTAAAAACTTTATGATGGATTAATTTATAGTGTAACTTTGTAAATGGACACAGTTAAAATGTAAAATGTTATTTTTACAATTTTGTATTATGTGACGCAGCCTGTTGCTGTCCTGTGACAGCTCACAATGATAATATAATAACTTCATCTGTAAAAGTACAGCTGTTTAGTCTCCCTACAGCATTAAGCATTCATATTCAGTAAATAAACATTTAATAAATGGTTTATAACACACACTATGATGGAGCTGTAAGCAGATGTTGGTGTTTATTCATGTATTTGTCTACAACTGTCTCCTCAAGAGGGCAGCCCTCACAATATCACAATATACTGCAATAATATCAAATATCTCTTCACAGGAGATGTTATTAAGCACATTAATAAACAATGTCCTTACATGTCTCCTACATTATAGTGCGTTATAAACATTTATTATTATAAGTTCGTATACTGCTGTTAATAAATGGTAAAGAGGTGCTTAATTAAAGTAAAGTTTTACCCTGTTGAATATATGAAGAAGTTCACCCCTCTGACATGTAGTGGAGTACAAGTATAAAGTATAAAATGGAAATACTCAAGTAAAATACAAAGTCGACTGCATCAAACACAACAGAAGCTTTGATACTAAAGCATGTTAGAGAACAAACCAAATGAAATCAATGCAATAAACAGCCCGTTCAATCCACAGCTATCTGCACAGTCAAACATTAAGTTCCTCCACAAACACATGTATTGGACTGCAGACAGTTCCGCATGATGTTCCTGTTAACTTGTCCTCACTTTCAGGACTTTTATTTTGATATGCGCTACAGTGAACTCATGTTAACAGTGTTGTGCAGCTCAGTGTCGGAGTGACAGAGGAGTTTGTGCACAGCTGGCAGGTTAAACAGACTGATCAAAGTCCAGATTAGATCATTTTATTTGTAATATCGAACTCGCTCTCGATGCTTTTACTCTGCGTCAGAAACACGATGAGAAAATAAAATCCTCCTCTTCTTACCTGACAGCCTCCAGAAATGAACCGACCTGCAAAAAAGTAGGAACACTTTGGTCTTGAACCAGCTGCAGTTTCACTTTATTTCCCGGAAAACAGCAAGAGGAAAAAAAAACAACCTCTGGGAATTATTCTACTGACGTCTAGCGTTTGTAGGGAGAATTGTTTTTATTTTAGCTGCAATTTAAAAACCAAATTTTCAGACGTTTTTCTTTTAACATATTTGGTTTGATCGTCGGGTTCGAGTGGATTTTCATGTAAAAATCATGAAAAAAGTGCATGAACAAGGGCTGATGTGCCACTCTTCATTAATGATTAATACCCGTATTGATTGGCTGTGTTTTGGGGATTAGGGCCTCTGTTTGAGTAAGAGCTCAGTGTTCATGAGTGGGTGGTTGTGTTTAAGTCCGCTTTTTTTTTTATGTTTTCAGATTTTTCTACGTGGATTTCTAACACCCGAGTGGACTTTTTAGCGGGATTTTTTTCAGCCCAGGTCGACCTGATACCCAAAACCCGTCATAAGAACAAGCCTCTCAGTCTGACTTCCATCCAGTGTTATAAAACAGTCTTTATCGTCCACAGACCACAAACAATGAAACTGTCGCTGCTCTGTGTTCTCCTGACACTCGGACTGGCCGCTGGTAAGAAAGCTTTATGATCCTCATTGTCTTCAATTATAAATGACTCACAGTTATTTCACTTTCTGTGGAGTCTGAATGTTTTGTTTTATTATGTACTTTGATTAAGAGTTAAAGCTCTGTATCTGTCTGTGGGTTTATAAAGAAACTACAAAACACAACAAATCAGTTATTTTCTATTTAACACCTTTTGTGAGTACTAGGATTGTTATGTAATAATAATGCCTGATTATATATATACCAGTAGTAATAGTAGTAGTAGTAGTAGTAACAGTGATAGTAGTACTGGTCTGTTTCAGTAACCAGATGTGAACTTTTTCTGCTTTTTCTGGTCTGTTCTCACAAACCAGCAGCATTGTCTTGGTCCAAAGGTTATATGTGTGCAGGCTTGTGCCCAAATGTTGCAGCTGGTACCACTAAGCACCTGTACTCACAGTTTAAACCCAGACTGAATATATAGAGAGATACAGCCCTGCCTGTGTAGTCAGCCTGGATCCTAATTGTTCTGTTATGTATAAACAGGCTACCGCAGTCCACTGAATGACTTCCAGCGCTCTGAGGGCAGAGAGCTGGTTCCTACCTCTTGGAACTCGGCTCGAGTGTTGCTGTTCCCAGGCCTGAACCTAGAGGACTGTGCCACACAATGCTCCCAGTCTCTGGACTGCAGGTATCCAAACTTTAACTGTTTTAACGCAGCAGGTTGTAAGCATCAACCAACAAGGCTATAATTAGAATGGGGTTATTGTTAGTAGTCGTTAATTATGACTGCATATATAATACCCTGTGAGCTCATATTTAAGTCATTGAATCATTTCTTAAAGATCCCCTCCAGACATGTATTAAGACATATATACACAAATAATCTGTTAAACAATTGTGTGCCTGATATGTTTTTTTCTATCTGCACATACATCGTTCTGCATAGTGAAGCTCAAACAGGAAACACTGATTTTTGAGTGGAGGGGTGAATTAAAGGATACATTTGGTCTTATTGTCAGTGAATTCCATGAAAAAGACCAAAACCAGCAATGAACTGATCCACTATCAGGTGTTGTGGTGCAGCCCAAAGCCTGATAAATCTTCAGAATAACTTAAAAGTTTACTGTGGAAAACTCGTTCAATATCATCTTGCTTCACTCCGAGAGCTATTAGTAGTGGAGCATCAGAATAAAGGAAAGATTTCTACTGCTGTAACATTAACAGGAGTAACAACACTTTTAGAATTTTAGTAAAGTATATAGACACAAATACAATGCAATTTTACAAGTGGAGATCTCATATAAAGCAGATAAAAGAACAAATTCTTGAATTTGAAACAGATGAAAGTGCAAAATATATGGATATAAAATTACTAAGGAGATGATACTAAAACCAGTAACATGGTAAAACTCCATGAAATAATGTAAAAGTAAAACATTGTTAAGCGTAGGTCATTTGATTTGATTTGATTCAACTTTATTGTCATTGCAAGTACAGGTACAAAACAACGAAATGCAGTTAGCATCAGCCGGAAGTGCAAAGTAATTTACAAATGTACAGAAATATGTAAAGAAAAAGTAATTATAACATTATAGCTATATGAATGAATATACTGACAAGATATTTACATTACAGTATTAACAGAGTAGATATATACGGCAATAACTTAAGTTAAGTCATCTTTTGAAAGCGAGTCTTCAGGAGACCCAAGTCGTAATAAAACAATTTATATATTGTAATGTCCTATTAATGATCTTGAAGGCTCATATATTAATTTATTAACACTAAGAAAGTGATTAATAATAATTTAATATATCTTATTGTACGTTTGTATCCATCAATGTACAAACCTTTGACATGAAAATATCCCTCAACACCAGAGCGTTCAACTACGAGACGCGTCCGACTGTCACCTGTAAACATCTGCCCTGGGTGGGTGACGGCAGCAATGCAGAGGTCAAGAGAAACGTAAACTGTGACCTCTATGAGAAGAAGGGTAAGACTCACACATGATGTTACTGAGATCAATGAGACGTGTCGGTGCTGGAGTTGTTTGATTGGTTGTGTTTTTGTTGTGAAGTCTATGTCAGAAAGTGCATCGTGGGTAAAGGAGAAGACTACCGAGGGAAAGTCTTCACCACAAGAAGTGGGCTCACCTGCCAACAGTGGTGGTCCAAGTTTCCTCATGACCACAGGTGAGACGTCATACAGTGTAATCAGGAAATATTAGTAAAAACTACGAAGTTAAAAACCTTTTATTCCACTTTAAGGGAGTTTGAAGGTGCAAACATTCATATTGGGTGAACAGTGAAGGACTTTTTTATACATAATACTCCAATTTTAGGAACTTGCAGGAAGTCATAGATCCTAAACATATAGACAAACCTCCACTACTCAATATTTTTTATATATTAAGTTGATTTAAATGACTTTTCTGCCTCTTTGTTTTGATTTTCTGGCCCCCAAAGTTCACTCTCATCAACCTCGTGTTAATGTTGCTCTTTGTCTACTGGATGTGTGACGGCCAAGTGATTGCCAACATTGCCAACTTTATAATATGTTAGTAATGTGTGTTTTTAGCTTGTGGTGGAATTAATCTGTATCCAAGCGGAGAAAAAACAATCAATTGTTCCAGATCTAAGTTAATTTGTCCAATTACTATTTATTCTAAAATGTGGATAAAAAGGCTCCAGCTCCTACACTATTGATCTGATGTGGATGTAAACACCTCAAATTAAAGTTGAGAGTCGGCACTTTAACCTCACAAAATCAATGCTGGGAGTAACAGAGCTTATAAAACAAACAAATGTGTCCTAAACCATTTTGACTTCTCTGTGTAATAACTGAAACAGTCCATCACTCACTGTAAAACTATGTTTCAGGTGGACTCCCACAGCTACTAATGGTCTGGAGCTAAACTACTGCAGGAATCCGGATGGGGATCGTATTGGTCCATGGTGCTACACCACTGACCCCGAGCGACGTTATGAAAGCTGCAACATCCCCCAGTGCAAAGATGGTACATCCCATACGTTTATATATATGAAAGGGGCATACATGTGTGAACCTGTGAATTTCTCAGGGATTTTCTGGGAAGTATCTTGGAATAACTGACATAATTTGATACGAATTAAAACGAAAATAGAGACAATGTTATGAGAAAGTAGTCATAGTTATTACTCCTTCATTAATCTTTTTTAAAAAAAGAATTGGTAAAATGTGTACTTTCATAGTTGGGTATAGTTTTTACTTTTAGAGGAAAACAGACACTTTTAAATCCAAGAAAATATTCCTTAATGTTGCTGGAAACTTTATTCCCTTGTGCTGTTTTGTATGCTTTACAAAGAAAACCAAACGTTAGGCTTTGTGCATGTTCAGCTTCCTGCTGTGCGCTGACTAAAAGATGGTTACTTTGGTAAAAGAAGGTTGTAATTATCAAATTTACCAATTGTACACCATTTCCCTGTAATTACTACCAAATTACACAGTCCTTCTTAAGAAATTACAATTATATCAGCTCCTCTCAAGGAAATGATTTAGAAATTATGGGACCTGTAAAATAAAATGTTTCTGTGTGGGTGATGTTATTTGCTTGCAGAGGTTTGTATCACGTGTAACGGAGAGGACTACAGAGGCCAGGTGGACCACACTGTGAATGGCAGAGAGTGTCAGAGATGGGACCAGCAGTACCCTCACCAACACATCTATCAGCCTGAAAAGTACTCAAGTATTCATCACTACATTACCTATCATGTGCCTAATTAACCAAATGAATTGATAATGTGATGTTAGTCTACAATGTATTTATTAACATGTTGTAACAAGACATTATGTAATAACCCACATTTTATAATACAGCTTCAGCTCAATATCAAATAAATTTTTCCCTATTTTAGATGATTACATATTGTGGTGGCTATTTTGAATAAGCCGAAGCCTTTTGATGGTCTTTTTGGGGCGCTCTATCTAAAGACGATTGCAGTAGTTAACCTTGTTGGAAACAAAAAGCGTTAATGAGTTCTTCCAGGTCGGCATTTGATGTGAAGTCCCTGAGTTTGGGTGTATGTTTAAGATGATAACAAGCTGATTAATGTGGCTGTTTAGACTGAGATCAGAGTCAAATATTTTTACAATTATGATGCTCTTTGGTCTCAAAAAATAATATAATTTAAATGTAGGAATCTAATTTAAATGTAATAATTGGGATGTGCACAGATGAAGACCTCCATTTTGGTTGGTCATATTGGATTCATGTGTTATTACGTAATGAAGTAAAAATCTATTACATTTTGTGTAATTATTGCATAATGTGTTGTTGCACATGTGAATTAATGTCAAACAGGAAGTAGGAAGTTCTCCCACAGCTTCTAAATTGTCCTGTGTTTTGTTTTTGTGTACATAATAAATTATTTTTAAATTTAATGTGTCTTCCAGGTATCCCGATAAGAGTCTGGATGATAACTACTGCCGTAACCCTGACGCCTCTCCGGTGCCCTGGTGTTACACCACTGACACTGAGGTGGAGAGAGAGAACTGTGAGATCAGCAAGTGCAGTAAGATGTTGCTTTTGTTATAGTTTCACAATTAGAGATACTTTATTAATTAGTATTAATTAATTAGTTGATCAAAAGATAGAAAAATAATCAACAACTATTATGACAATGGATGAATCACTGAAGTTCTATGATAGTAAACTGCAGCTTTAAGAGGAGTGATAGTGACCTTTCCACTGTTTTGTGTTTATAGACCAAATTATTAAAATAATAGATGATGAAAATAATCATTGCAGCCCTAAATAAGACATTACTGTCACATTTTAATTTGTAGAATACATTTTTGGGGGGATCAGACCTTCTTGATTGTTTCTTCTGCTTAGTTTTTGTCATTAGCGCTCTCTGGTAGAACAGCGGAGACGTGAGCTGAATTGAGCTGGTTCCTGTGGCATTAGGAGACACAGTGCAATTAGGAAGTCTCATTAAGTCGCTGTAATTAAATTTAGAAAAATCACCTTTTTGGTGTTTGTGCAAATTACTTCCTAAATTGCGAGACACTTCACAATTGCCCCAATGCTTCTTTTTGATTTAAGAGTAAATGCGGCTAAAGAGTGCAGATGTTTGTCAGTGATTCAAGCCCTTCATTGTCTCACAGGGTCTCCGGTTAATTAAATGTTAATTACAATGTTTTTATGTTTGTTTATACAGATTGTTTTCAGTTTCAGTTTCTGGGGTTTTGTCTAGCTTTCATTAGAAGTAGTAGGAGTACAATTATTCTACAAATATACATAAAAAAACAAAATGTAAGAATTTGAGGCTAATTCTTTTCCTCTGATTCTAACTATAAGTTGGGACCACCGTATGTTATGTAACATTTAATGTACGACACACCAAGTGCTGAACTTTTAGCTTCAGGACTTAAATAAATAAACCCAAAACAGGCCGCCAGTGTTTTGCCCAGAATTTCGACATGACTTGTGTAAGATGACACTGGCAACATTGGCATTTCCACTGAGGACAGAGATCACTGAGGCCAGAAATCTATAAGATAGCACCCTCTTGTGGTGCAGTCGGTGTTGAGTTAAATAACAAAACGCTGCTCAGAGTCAACTCTCATCATAAACACTGATAAAAACAAGATATCACATAGCTTCATTCTTGTTTTGGTGTTTTCACTAGCAAGAATTCAGTATTTTTATGTTATCCAGTGTATTTATTTTGTTATTGTATCTGCGTCAGACAAACAAAACACAATCAGAAGAAAATTGAGGGAACTGTCACTCTAACAAATTCAGAAAGTTGAAAAGTGAGGTGAAAAGGAAATAAATAAATCATGAATCTATACAGTGAGGTTTTTGTGTTTGAGAAATCCAAACAAAAAATGAATTAATCTTCTCAATTTCACACTTTTCCTGACTTTAAATTTAACCATGATAGTAAGTAATGACAGACTTTTGAAAATAATTCTGTTTAATCAGATCCCCTCCAGACATGTTTTGATAGATAGACATACGTAGAGACGATGAGAGGAGTTGTCCTTGATGGCTTTCAGCTTCCCTCTCCTCCTCTTCTCAGTCACTGCCTCCACACTGCCCAGTTCCATCCCCACCACAGAGCTGCCCATCCTCACCTGCTTGCCAGGTTCGTTGGCACCACAAATCCCAATGTCACCTCCCTCAGCACACCCAGGAGAGACAATGACACTGGCCACAACAGAGTGGCAGAAAGCGACATAGAAATTTAAGAAGATCATTATAAATAACATTATATTTTAGAAAAGGAGGACTTCAAATATTCCAGTTAGGTTTTGACTTTAATTTCACTACAATAATAAAACATAACTTACAAAAATCCACCACTTCCTCTATCTTAAGTGTATATTCATTTATTCTTTTTTTAATATATATATTTTTTTTAGTTTTTTGAAAACAAAAAAAGACTATTACAAATAATGACTGTAATGATATGACATTAAAGTAAAATAAAGAAGAAATAAGTAAAATAATAAAAAGTAATAAAATGACTGTATACACAAACCAGACTAAATAGGTACAAAGAAATGGAGGTTAAAGTTATAGCTGTTCAGCATCTTGATAAGAATTCTATAGACAGTTTAAAGGGCAGTGAATAGCTGGATGTTCTCTCTAATGTGGGCAAAGAAAGTGTTTGTTGATAAATCATTTCTAAAATATGTTCTTGGAACCTTATTGTCTCTAATTTGATAAAGAAAAGTAAGTCGTGAACCCACTGAGCAAAGCTGAGTGAAATTATATCTTTTGAACAGGATGAGACGTCGGGTCAGTACATAATATTAACCATATTAACCTCACCACAGTGCAGTCCAGAGGTGACCAGTGACACTAATTTATCTCCTCTTCAACTTGCCCCTTCTCTCCAGCTGAGGTGAGGGTTGAGAAACGCCAGCGCTCCAGCTTTACGACCAACTGTTTCCGCGGCCGCGGGGAGGATTACCGTGGTAAAGTCAACGAGACCACATCAGGTATCCCCTGTCAGCGGTGGGACGCCCAACAGCCTCATGAGCATCCCTTCTACCCAAACACATACGAATGCAAGTGAGTACATATATAATATAGAGTTTTGATGGAGAAGAAGTTGAGTGTGTTTGACAGATGAAAGTGCTTTGGGGTTATTTTCTGCACTCATAGCCTGTTCAAAGTGCTCTATTTGCTTCACACATGAATATTAATGTCAAGAAGTCATTGCAGGGAAATTTCTTGCAATCTTATTTCTCAGCTGACAGTTGACATTAGATGATAGATGGTCAGTTACTCCACAGTATAAAGCGGCCGCCCTCTGAGTGGCAGTATGGATGTGAACTGAATTTCAAACTTATTTGTGGTGCAGTGATCATTAATCATGCCGAAACTGATTACGAGTGTTTGAATCCTCAATTTTTGATAGTTAGTTAACCTACAAGAATCTATAATCCCTAAATGAAATGTGCTTTCTATTAACTGTGGTCTTTTTAAACAACAGGCCCACTTACAGCTTGTACAAAATAAGATGGTACATTATATTATTAGATTTTTAATAAAAGAACATTTAAGGATAGGACATTTTAAATCACTACACTGGTTAAACGTGCGAACAGGGTTCAGGATCTTGCAACAAGTCATGTGTATAAATGCCTAAATGGTCCGGTACCAGACTATTTACAGGTGTTTGAGCGTACTAGAGATCAGCTTGACTATAATACTAGTTGTAGGTACTCAAAGTTCTGTAAATATTAAAAGATATGCCAGGTTTGGATCTAAATCTGGAACCTGGAACCATTTACCAGATTAGTGAAGCTCTCAGGCCCGGACCACTATGGAAATTAGTTATTTTAACTTTTACTGTTTTTATCCTGTATTCTGTTTCAATTTTTTATGCATAATACTTTGTTTCCGTTGTATGCTGTTTATAGTTTATTTTGTGTTTCTGTATGTCCATGTTTTATGTTGGACTGACTGTGTATTTTTAAATATGTTAATATGTGGAAAAGTATGTTATGTGTCAGCTTTTTTATGATAAAACCAAACATATTCTACTTGACTGTGTGCTACATCTCATCCAGGGGTTTGGAGGAGAACTACTGTCGTAACCCAGATGGGTCGGAGGCTCCCTGGTGCTTCACATCTGTGCCAGAGATGAGGACTGCTCTTTGCTTACAGATCAAACGCTGTGCAGACGACATCGAGGCTGAAGGTACGACTTAATGATTACTTACTGCAGATCTGAGCAAAAAGATTAATTCAGTGAACAGCTGACTGTCAGCCGTAATGGATAAAGATGAACCTGTGTCGTAATGAATATTTTGGGCATGCAGGGATGTAACCATGTAAATACTGAAGTCATTAAAGTTCCCTCAAATGCAAGCCAAACCCTAGAAAATATTGACCAGGTACCATATGTTACGTATAAAGTATTTTTTTCTCGTATAATACATTTTTGTATATTTTGTTTACAAATGTTAAAGTGACACTTTTGTCCTCTTACAAATGTGTTGTTAAATTTGTTTGCAAGAAAATACACCCAATTCAATATGTTACAGCTTTAAAGGGACATTTTGGTGTTTTTCAACCTATTTTTTTGTGACAAATGGGGGAAAACAATTCTTTAAATGGGTCCAGTATTAAGCGCTGCAGCCTCAGAACGGTGTCATCCTTCGGGGTAATTTTGCACCGTCAATGTACGTCTACTAAAAGTGCTTGTTTTTGCCACTGACAGATTGGTATTATAAGTGTCTGACAACATTTTGGAAGGACCCTACTAAGTAAGATCCTTCTTGTTTAACCAGAACCAGCTGTTGCATTGTTCTGTTCAAAACCACCAGACTCCATTGAGAAAAACTGTAATTTTAGGAGTTGCTGGCCTACTGCTGCCTTGATCGGCTGGTTTGTTTGAGTTATTGGGTGACCTTGGTGAGTTCAACATGTTAAAACACCAAAGTCACATAATAACAGAGACAAACTAACCGATCACCAGCGGCTGCTGTTCAGCAAAAGTTACGTAGTCTCACTTTAAGGTTTAAATTACTTAGTATAGTAATAAATTGAGTCAAAACAATATCACCGTAGCCTTGTTTCATTGTTGTATTCAGTTTTTATAACTTTATTCTTGCTGTTTTCCGTAATTCATCAAGGTCACTGTCATGATAGTATTGTCTTTTTTCAGATTGCTACCATGAAAATGGTAAAAACTACCGAGGCATGGTCCGCAAAACTCGTAAGGGCATCACCTGCCAGAAATGGAACGTTAACACACCTCACCGGACCAGGTACGATGATCATTAAAATGTTACAAAGACACAAATTATCTTTTTGTCCAAGAAGAAAAGAGTCTTTACGTGAAAGAGCTTGTCCCCTTTATATTAAAGCTGTGTCCAAAATCCACATTGCATACTAATTCTAGGCAGGGTTTGAGTATGCCCCAGCTGCGATCCATGTAACCCCACTTACTTGTAACATTTATGAGATGCTTACAGCTTTAAAAAATCTGTGTTTCAGGATAAACCCAAGGACACATCCTGAGGCCAATCTGACAGAGAACTACTGTCGGAACCCAGATGGGGACCAGCACGGACCCTGGTGCTACACCACTGACCCCAAAACCGAGTTTGACTACTGTGCCATCAAACAGTGTGGTACATAACTACACTTCATTTGTCTATTTTACTGTGTGGTGACAACTTAGCCTCTGTTTGATTTATCTGTTCCTTGTTGTTTTCAAACAGCTGGAGAGAAACAGCCGATGACTGAAGCCGTAGGTTAGTTTCTGAGCAAATATGAATTTGGAAGGTTGACAACAAGCCTTCTCATGAGTCTTTACAATAACATGGCACCTTTTTGTGAATGCAGAGAAAGTGGAGTTTAGCGAGTGCGGAAAGAGAGAGGACCGTGTCCAGAGGTCGAGGTTGCGTATCGTGGGCGGGGTTCCCGGGAACTCGCCGTGGACAGTGAGTCTCAGAGACAGGTGAGTGAGAGCTAATGGTGGCCATAAACAAGTCAAATACACTCTGCTGTGCTGTGTGTGACTTCTGACCTCTCGTGTGCAGGAAAGGAAACCATTTCTGTGGAGGATCTCTGGTTAACCCCAGATGGGTGATCAGCACCAAGCAGTGTTTCTCCTCCTGGTAAACTTTATTTATTTATAGCTATTGGAGCACAACCAGCAGTGCATCAGTAGACTCATTTAAAAAAAATGTACTCTAACCAGATAACAGTGATATAGATAGAACAGATAAAAACTAACCAACACTTGTAAGTTAGGATGTCTCAGCCTTTTAACCATTTTTAGCCATGCAAGCAGCATTACTCTAGGCATGGCGATGTCTGTTGGTCTGTCTGCCCACTGCTTTGGTCCAGACTGAAATATATCAACAGCTATATGTTGGATTGACATCACATTTGGTTACAGATATCCACGGTTCCTAGATGATGAATCCTTAAGATTTCTTTTATTCTAGTCCCACCATGAGGTTTACATTTGTGGTTTGGCGTGAAATATCTCAACAATTATTGGATGGATTGCCAAAGAAAATTGGCATCCACATTCATGTCCCCTTCTGGATGAATTGTAATCACTGTGGTGTTCCCTTGAAATTACTTCTAGTGGTCAAACTTTGAATTTGTCTGAAACTTTGCTTTTTTAACCAAATACCTGCAAAACTGATGACATTCCCATCAGCCTCAACTTTGTGCTAATCAGAGGTCGCAAAAGTACACACATTCTTTAGTCGAGTAGAAGTACAGATAAAAAAAAGACTTCTTTACTCAAGTAAGAGTGAACAAATACAGGCTCTGAAATTTACTTAAAGTATAAAAGTAATAACCACTCTCAACTAACTGAAACTTCAAATAGGGTCGAGTCCCCCTCTTGTCTGATTCGTCTTTTACGTCTGTTTATAATTCCCGTCAAAGACATTAAAACAAATGTAACATTTTAGTGTGAGGAGTAGAAAGTACAGAAATTTGTGTAAAAATGTAGAGGATAAGTAAAAAGTTGTCAGAAAAATAAATACTTAAGTGAAGTACAAATACCTGAAAAAACTTTGTTACTTTCCACCTCTGGTGCAAATTAGTAAATGTTAGCATGCAAACACAATAAACTAAGATGGTGAACATGGTAAACATTTGGCTATCACAGCTTAACATCAGCAAAATAGCATTTCGTTGCTGTTGGGCAGAAACCTTGTATCTCCATATTTTGTCCTTTTATTTCACAAATCACTGCTATTGGTCACCGTTTATGTCTGTTTGTGGGTTTTACAAATATCTAACCAATGAAAAGTATTAAAATTAACAATACCAACTTTGACTTTGTTCAATTATTGTATATCCTTTTTTTTCCATTACCTAAAAAAGTAACGTGACATTTTATTAGCATTTTGCTCTAAGCAATGCTGTACCGACGTCTACAGCCTCATGGAGTAAAACTGTAGACTCTTTGTTTTGAAACGTCTGTTGTAAATCCTTTAAGGAAAAGTTCCCCTGAAAGACATGATGATATTTCAGGATAAGACACGAAATAAAAAAGTGTGTTTCCCTGTTTACAGCTACGTGGACCTGCCTGGGTACTCGGCCATGATGGGAACACTGTTTCGCGATCCACAAGAAGAAGAGCCTGGCGTGCAGACCATCCCTCTCACAAAGATTGTCTGTGGACCCTCAGAGTCTCAGCTGGTCATGCTACAACTGGAACAGTGTGTACTGTCAAGTGCCCCCAGCATACACACACACTCTCAGACATACCAATAATCCCCTCTCACTCTCTTCTTTCTATAGCCCTGCTCAGTTTAATGAGCGTGTCTCTCAGATCTGCCTCCCTCCTGAGCGCTACATTGTAGCTGAGGGGACGACCTGTGAGATCGCAGGATGGGGTGAGACGAGAGGCAAGTAATCCTTTGGAAGTGATAACTTGACACTGAATTCACTACACGCTGCGCTCGGTGCGACTACAATATGCTCCTGTTACAATAATTGATAATAGATGACTTTCTTAGAACAAGCATCTTGTTTCTGCCCTTGAAGTAGTGTTGCATCTAAATGAGAGCTTTTCAGACCAGTGAGCAACAGACGGTGTTGCTATTTCCAGAAGCATTCAACATCTGTCCACCTTCCTCTTCTTTTCTCCATCTCTCTAAACACATTAGCGACTAACTCATTCCTCCTTACTGTTTTTCAAGGGACTGGAGATGAGACTGTCCTCAACGTGGCCCACATACCGGTTCTTAGTAACAAGGAATGCAACAAATACTTCAGAGGTCGTGTTCGTGAGAATGAGATGTGCACGAGCTCTTTCCAGGGTGGGGTAGGCGCCTGTGAGGTAGGTGTCCATGCAAAAGTGTGCACAGTTTGGAAGCTTTATTGTCCGTTTTGAGTGGGGTATTTTTTTGCATTTTTCCTTTAAGTTTCCTTTAAGGAGTCAGACGTGTATGACAATCAAACCAGGGATATTGTGTGTACGTGGTAACCTCTAGATCACCACTACAGCCCACACTGATCATTTTGGTGCTGTGGCCTTCAAGGTTCGATATTTTTAAAAATACACCGACCCATCGCCCCACCGTAAAACTACTGATAGGTGTGTTTTTATTACATTTGGACAGAGCCACGGTAGCTGTTTCCCTCTGTTTCCATTTTTTTTATTTTGCTAAGCTAAGCTAACTGGCTGCAGGCTGTAGCTTATATTTAGCATACAGACATGAGAGTGGTATCAATCTTTTCATCTAACTCTCTGCAAGAAAGCGAATAAGCGCATTCCCCCGCTGTGCTTAGAATTAACTCTTCAAATTCTCATGGTGAAGAAAATCTTTTGATGATGGAAATCACTTTAAGTAAAGAGCATACAGCTATTTATACATTCCTATAAATCAAACACATTCACCATTTGGATAATGGAGTCGGGCTGGACAAGATGTGACTGCAAGATGTTTCCAACCTCAGCAGTGACAGTCAGTCATAACAGAGACAAATAATGACTCCAGAGTGTTGTTCCTGTGTGTCTGCAGAGAGACTACGGCGGCCCTCTGGCGTGTCAGAACAGGGACTGCTGGGTACTCGAGGGTGTGATCATTCCCATGAGGCGCTGCGGACGCCCGGGGCAGCCCAACATCTTCATCCGTGTGTCCGTCTATGTGGACTGGATCAAGAAGGTCATGGAGATGGCTTAGACACACATAACAGCCATCCAACAAGGACTGATCAATTGTTATTCACTCACCGTATACAAGTCAGATGTTGTTTTACATTAAAAAATGTTCATAATACATCAAAGTTTTAATCAGATTTTATTGTACAAGTTACAACATTACTATATAATTAAGAAGACTCATTCAGCCTCTCATTCATGGAGAAAATGCAAAGACAGCACAGTAATTTGTAACAGCTTTAAATTCATTTTTCATTTTAGACTAAATAAGCAGAAAACATTTATATTCCCAAAACATGATCACATAAGGTGAGATGAAAAACAATGCAGAGATTTATCATAAAAATGTGTATAGCAATCACAACATAATGTAATTGTAGCAGATATAAGGATATTTGTAAGTGTTAATTAATGTTCAGTATTTGTCATATTTAATGTTTTTTTCATTATCTGTTTATACACCACAAGTTTTCGACAAATACAATAACACACTTTTATCTGCTAACAATGCTCATAAACCATTTATTAAAAAAAGGTTTATATTCTCCTTATAAATGCTAAATAAGGACTTAAAAGTATTTTTGTTATTTATTCACCAAAAAGCTAAAATGGACGCAGAGATAAAAACTAATTGTAGCCCCTAAGGTTCAGAGGAGAACAACTGGAGCTAAGTAACTTCCAATAATAGCAGAGGTGTGGGGGGTTTACGGCACACATTTTAAGTTCCTAACATCCCCTGGAAATGCACCCTTTACCACAAAACTGTACGCCTCCCCTCCTCTCCCTGGCATTGAATGGAGCTCCGAAATACCTTCTTTGCCCCCAGCCTCTAAAGAAATCCCTCCTCTGCCTGTCTTTTGATGCCTGCCCCCACCTCTAAAGACATGCCTTTGTGCCTTATGCAGAACTGTATGCGCTGCACATTCTTTCTAGTTCTATAGGAGGATTTTTGTAACCCGGTCCTGATGAGCCCACGGAATTCAGCTTAAATAAACCTCAAGATCAGAGTCCAACCGAATCTCAGACACACCAGCCTGCAGAAGGCCACTGAACTCTCTCTCACACACAATTTCTCTCTCATGCAAACCCTCCCCCCCACCACCCTCTCCGACCACCACCTCTCTCCGTCTTATTCCCCTCATTCTATCTGTCTGTGTCTGTCTCTTGGACATTTTCTTTCTTTCTTTTGTCTGGACACTCAAAAGAAAACTGACATTTTATTATTTTTGTCTGCAGAAATAAGATCTAATGGGACTGAAGTATACAACCTCTAGCTAATGATGGGCAATTATCCTCCTGCTGTACACAGCGTCTGGTAATGGCAGGTTGACAGTTATGATTCTCATTCTGTACACTTTCATTTAGTAATATTTATAGTGGATGACTAATCAAATTCATATATGACTACCAGTTCTCAGCAACTGTTGCTTCTGAGAAACCTGACTAAAAGAAATAATTAATAAACGCTGCTACACAAATATGGAAATAGTTTCTTGGTTACTTTGTTTTATGTGTACTGTGGTAATGGCCTCTGTGTAGCCTCAAATAAACATTTTGTGTTTTGTTTTTATATTCAACATTTGATCATAAATGTTTCTCAATTTAATCTTCAGGTTTCACAGGATATCTAATCTTTAGTTACATCATGATACTGACAGTGTAAACCATTTCAAATCCAGCCCTGTGCTTCATCTTTGTAACTTAAAGCTTTATATGTTGGTCTCCTGCCAGCACGCTCACCTGACATGACTCCATGAGCGGTCCAGCATTAGCTGTCCCTGGAATGTGTATTCACCGTGGTTCAAACATTTCCTTCTGTATTTA